AGACAATGTAGTATGTCTACATTCCTACACTTTTCATTAAAAACAATCTCTTTAAACTTTTCGAAGCATTTTATTTGAGCATTGGCATGTTATACCCATTGTCCTGGTTTTTGTCGTATTACCAAACTGCATTAGCCAAAGACTTTTACTATGTACTAGACTAGATAATTTTTTCAGCATAAAAATTGTGTCACAGTGCGGTCGTGCACCAATGCGACCTACAAAACAGTGTTTTAGTTAATGTTCTAACGGTGATTAAAACACTGTTTTGTAGGTGACTTCCAATTTCTACGATTTCCCCGTTCACCACATCAGTTCCCTGGCTACGCTCCAGAGCAATGAAGTATATCTGAAGGTATCGCAATATGTAATATCGCTTCGATACATTCAGATATTATATAAATATTAGTAGAAAAGATTTCGGTATGTATTCTGAAACCTCAGAATACGGAACAAACCAGAAACCGTCAACGGGCGTAAATGTGTATTCATATAAAGTACTCCAAAACGCACTACTTTGACTTTAGAGCAATTAGTCAATGGCCGGCGCGCGCATTGTTTACATATCCGTCAGATTGACACTTTAAAATTAAATTATGCCGTCTTGTGCCGTTCCAACATGTAGGAATGCTACTGGAATCACGAAGAAAGTGCATGGGAACATGTTTTATCCGTAAGTAGCACATTTCCAATTCATTTTAATTAAATAATAATTTTCAAAAAAAATCACGGTTGTATTTTGTAAGTGTTGCCACAAGTCTACGGAATATTTTACCCTACTTTTTTATATTGAATTACATTTGTCTAATTACACTATTTAATAGAAATAAATAATCATCTACACTTAGTTACTTCGGAGTAAAAATTAAATTCATAGGTAGGTAGGTACTATCTATGCCTATGGCCAGTCATGTCGTCTCGTTCTATCGCAAAGAATCACCATTTGATGAGAGCGAGAGCAAAAACGGAAATGGATAGTTAATACTGTGGCCGTGTGTACTTATTTCACTTACTTATTTTTTACTTGTTTAACATCTCATTAAAAAATTACATAATTTTACCCCGAAAATGGGGGTGTCACACGGCGCTAGTAACACTAAAGGGGGTAGAGGGGCGCGGGAGGGGAAGTATTTTGGACACAAGTTGCCGCGTAGAAATGTTATCGAACACTCCTTCTGGTTTGTTCTGTATTCTGAGTCTGAAACGTGGCTTAGAACTCAATTCAAAGTCAGATTTTCAGCTGTTTTCTCGTGAAAAAGACTTGTGGGTTGCTGGTAAACGAAAAAACTTCTACTAGGGTTGTTCAAAAAGTAATGAGAATGGGATATTTCTAGCCATCACAAAAATGTGGAAAAAAATGGGTAAGTAGCTTAATTCTTCACTAGAAACTTTTAAAAATCATTGATGAAGTTCACCACAATCAGTCAAACATTATTGAAGTTCACCACAATCTGTCAAACTGGCAAACAAGTGATGTCAAGTCAAGAATTTCTTCTATAGTTCCAAAATACTGGACTGTCCTGTCGATGACATTGACAGTAGGGCGCCACCGTCAATACCGAATCGCTGGTTCAGATTTTTGCCATATTGCAAACCATATAGTTGAACGATAGTAGCGCCCCCCTGTCATTGAGTTTGGTGGGACAGTTCAGCGTGGGTCAACTATAGTTATTTGTCGGAGTCTCATCCAAAAAATGTTTGTTCACAGATTTACACTGATTTACACATTAAGATTAATCTGAGTCAAGAATGAATGGTGAGCTATTTCTATAAAAATAATTTTTTCATACGATCGTGGGACATGACCAAAAATATGATGGAAATCCTGTTAGGTAACATCAATTAACACATTCATATTATACTGGTTATAGATAAGAAGGTGCGAAAAATAGTCTAGTCACCTTTAATACTATTACACAAGTCAAAGCCAGTTGTAATTAAGTTATTAACTTATTTTAAGCGTCTTAGCGTTTGTTGTTGCCGTGTACTTTGTGTTTATTTCGGTCAGTTAGACAGTTCAGAATGGCCACAGAATTTATGTAATTTAATTGTAAAATAGGGCTTTCACTTCAATATTTCGAAATAATAACTATTGACTGGTTCTGGTACACTTGCGCGAAAGACACTAGCGCGAAAGACATTCGCGCGAAGACACTATCGCGAAAAGCCATTTGCGCGCATGGACACTTGCGCGAAAAGACACTAGCGCGAACGGACGTTAGCGCGAAAAGACATGAGCGCGAAAGACATTTGGGCGAAAGACATTTGCGCGTAAGGACACTAGTTACGTACCTACTACTCATAGCTGTATCTATCTCATTTGATGTAGGTAACTTATCCCAAGTCTACGTCTTTATCCCAACTAATATTATAAATGCGAAAGTAACTCTGTCTGTCTGTCTGTCTGTCTGTCTGTCTGTTACGCTTTCCCGCTTAAACCTCGCAACCGATTTTGATGAAATTTGGCATAGAGATAGTTTGAGTCCCGGGAAAGAACATAGGATAGTTTTTATCCCGGTTTTTGAAACAGGGACGCGCGCGATAAAGTTTTTCTGTGACAGACAAAATTCCACGCGGGCGAAGCCGCGGGCGGAAAGCTAGTGTAACTATATAACGAAATATTGTAATCTTCACTTCTACATAAGTCAGAATTCTTGGCCCCGTGCACACTTGATTTGTCTGCAAATGTAGCCTATTGTTTTGCTGTCCACGGCGTTTCCTATGGAGACAGTCACGAGATAGGTTATCCTTTACACCATATATCTTCGCTGTCTGGCTGCCTTCCAGGGGTTCTATTCTGCAGTGAGGTTTTTAGTTATTTTGCAATTCACTAAAGAAATAGCTTGTGGTCGTCAACGTATCTTAAGGTGGTCTCTCGACTGGTGGGTGGACAGTGCATTTGTGTGCTTGTCACAATCCAAGTAGGTGTATACGGTACTGTCGTGTTTAATTTTGTATATTAGGCACGTAAATAATGGCTATTTCACGCTCTCAACTCAATCTCAGTTGGCACTTGGCAACAACTTGTACGACAGTTTTTTATTATGTGCCCTCACATAATAAAAATCTGTATATTTTCAAAAAAGTTCAGACAAATAACCGTTGGTTTCATTCTAGCTAGTGTTTTAAATTATTTATCAAACTTTTATTTTAAAGAAAATGTTAACTTCTCGTGGTAAACTTAAACTTGTGTTACGAGTGGGTTCACCAGAATAATCGAGTGGCGGCGGCAGAGATGAATCCGCGTTCCTCGGATCACGAGTCAATTCAACACCTTCACCGTCGAACAAAAAAAAGACAAATAGAGCAATAGAGCTGAAGAAATGGCATCGTTTTACAGAATAGGGTCTCAGAAATCAGATTGGGCTCGCATCCGGATTGCTATAAATATTTGTTACTTGCCCTGACAGCCCGGTCTTATTACCTTAATACAAAGTTAGACAAGGGTTTAAAAGATAGACAAATTATGTATGTTATGTACATATGTCTTGTTTCTTTATTTAACATCGGAAATCTTTGTGTTACTAAAACAACTTATATTGCTGTCGTGCGACGGGCGGCCGCAGTGAGTGTGTGAGCGCGACAGCAACATAATTACGCGCGAGCGATAAGGATGAATAGCTTGGGGTCATTGGACAAAATTCTACGTGCTCGCAGACCAGACTATAATAAATCTATCTAAAATGCTACGAGTATATCAAAACTATAAATAGAGATGTTACCATTTATGCAATAGTGCAAACTTGGCAGGTAAAATCCATGCACTATTGTCATTTAGATACTTACCTACTCATAATTATCATCATAATTTCAGCCACAGAACGTTCACTGCTGAACATAAGGTATCCTCCGATTGGGTGGTTGGTAGCAGCCTGTATCCAGCGCCTTTCTCACCTTTATGAGATCGTCTGTCTATCTAGTGGGTGGGTGGTTTAAATACTTACTCAACACTTTAAAATTTTTCATGAGGATGATTGCTTTTTGAAAATAATGTCACCAGTTGAAAACTACATAATTCCTGGGTGACATACACTTTCTGTGTAATACTGAAATTCAGGCCGGGCGTAGCCGCAAAAAAACTAAAAATAGCTTTAAAAAAGTTAACCAAATCTTCGCCACACAGCACTTGAGCGAGCAGGTCGCCAAAACAGTTTTCAGATCTCCATAGTTGCATCACGAAACGCAAAACTTTGAGGCACCGCTCCCAGCTGGCTTCCATCCAGGAATAAATGTCTGCGAGCTCATAAAAATGTATATGTAATACCTGAGAGACGGCAGGGCATTAGACAAGCGTGCCGTTTCTCTGAAATATCGTCCATTTGGCATAATTAAGTTTAAGAAATAAAAACACTGGCGGAAGCGTCGTGGAGAGCGATTGTTATTTTGGCGGTAGTACCTACTTTCTTATACCATAGATACGGTAGATAATTGAAGATAGAGAAAGTTTTCTTTGAACTTCATTGCATAAACAAAGTACAATCAGTGGAATTAATGCCTTACAGTATCATCTACAAGTCAGTAATGAGTAAATTCAATATTATTACAATAACAATCCTGCTTACACGCTAAGTTGTCAATTTTAGCCAAATGAATGAGTTTTAATTAAGAACGAACATCAGAATTAAATAAATTAAGCAAGATTTACTTACCTACTAGCTCTATCAGTTGATAAACACAAATAACTATTTGACATCATATTGAATTGATATCCTATTTAATCCAAGTAAGTATGTGTAATTTCAGTTCGTGCAGACTTCGGCAAGTTGGTCAAATTAAATTGTTCATTGCAGACAGACATATTGGCGAATCTAAATAAGAATGGCGAATATTTACACAAAACTTATCAACAAAAACGATTGGCTACTTAACATAATTTCGATTACGTAACTCTACGCCCGTATTTACAAACGATGCTTGCTTAAGTGAAGCAGCAACGCTATGCCAAGTCAAACTCACGGCGTTGAATAAAGCTCTGTGATTGGTTTGTGTGTATCACTCCGCCACTCAAGTATTGTCTATGAATAGGTTTTTGGGACCCTGTGCGTCCTTGCGCACTGTGAGATCTCATAGTGATGTTTGTGAATACGGGCGTAAATGTAATCACTAAAACGCACTCTTCAGTGTTTTTTCTTTCTTTTCGACGTGTTGTATATGTCGTCCCAAAAGGTTTTCCTGTCCCAGTAAGGGTGGCTGAAGACTTGGAACTCCCGGTCCAGGTAGAGGCAGGTGACATTTTCCCGGGAGACTGTTGGCCATCGGATGGGTAGTAATGGGGTCACGGATGGTGTTGGATTGCTAAAAAGGATGGTTAAGAGATGTAAATTTTGACCCATTTATTGTTCCGAAGTAGTGGCAGGGTGAAAGTGATACTGACGTGTAAGGGCTTTTTAAAACCTGTTTGTAGAAAATAATTTACTATTACGACTTTAGGAAGCAAACTGGCTGTATAGGTACAATCAGTACAGTTAAACACAAGCATCATAGGCTGGGTTGAACCACCTTACTTTAACTTTGACAAACGTCAAAAATCTGTGAAACTTCATACAAAAAACACAGGTTATCGTCAAAGTTAGGTGGTGCAACTCAGCCTTAATGTACTTATTTGGAATAGGTGCTAGTATTTTGCAACAAACAAAAGAATCAACTGTTCCATAGAACTTTACTATCGATTGAACCCGAATGTATTCAGACTGGTGATTAATTAAATCTGTCACTAGGGTGACCTCAGGGGCTGTGTCGATAGTATAAGAGTAAAGAAGACAAAGAGGGCTGTTAAAAAGTTGGTTTCAACTTACCCGTATTTAACATAATTCCCTATTAAACTGGATACTCTACGAACCGTTATTTTGTCGGCTTCTTCCTTAGGGTTCTTATTCAAAATGGCGTATTTTACTACATCGCCATGCCCAGCCACATTCGAATTCTCGTAAAAATAATCGTATCCACCAATTTTGCCTTTATACGCAAACTCCATCAGGTAAACTGGATTGCACTTAGAATGGGCCTCCACGGAGGTCATGAGACTATGCAAAATAAGACTGTCCCCGAAATAATTTAAATGTTGAACCACAATATCGTCAGATCTGTTGCCAAAATAGAAACGTTTTATACTCTCCGCTATCTCATGTCTAACTTCATCTTTTTGTGTGATAAGATCCGCTGGCAAGAACTCCAGGAAATTAGACTCCATCCTTTCTCTGTAGTTCAGTTCGTAATATTCCGTGCTCCTAAGATACAGTCCTTCAAGTGTTGAGAACAGAAACATTGTTGGTATTTTTCGGAATTTGCCTCTTTTCAGAATGTCGCTAGGAGCTCTCGTTAGAAAATGTTCCTCGCCTGTGTATTTTTCGACACACGGAGCAAAACCAAACGTGCCATCCGTCAAGTTATTGTAGTACTCAAACGTCATCTCAGTTAATAGCTCAACAGGCATTCCCTTGTAGTGTTCAGCTAATATCTTCGCGAAGTCTGTTTTTGGGACGTTCATAAGCCTTGAGATTTTCATTGCTGTGTTAGACGGATTCCGGTCTAAAGCCCAAGGTGCAGTGGCTGATCCAGACTCTATAATCGCTTGATGGAACAATCTCCTACTCATGCTGGACAGCATTAGGTATTCGACTGACGCTCCCCCCGCGCTCATGCCGTATACCGTCACTTGTTTGGGATCACCCCCAAATTGGGCTATATTATTTCTGACGAACTTCAGAGCAGCGACTTGGTCTTTCAACCCTGCGTTGCCTGGAGCGTCCTTTATGCCTAAACATAGGAATCCTAACGCTCCAAGTCTGTAGTTGATGGTTACAACTATGATGTTCTGTTTTATCAGATATTCAACGCCCGCTGTTGGTCCTGCTCCCATGATGAAGGATCCTCCATGGATGTAGAATAATACAGGTATAGGGGTTTCAGGACTTATCATGGGGGTGAAGATGTTAAGCACGAGGCAGTCTTCTTCGCCTTCGCCCTTTTGGGGGCATTTTGTGGTGCGGTTAGCATCGTAGACGATAGTCCAGGGCTGGGGAGGTTTTGGTGCCTGAAAAATAAGGAGAAATTGAACTTAAGTTCTTTTGCACAGGAAATTGGTAACTAATTCGTAAACACGTTTATATTATTGCATAAACGCGTCATTAGCTATATAACATTTTTATTTTACTTCAAATCAAATCAATCACTTGACTTCAAGTGACATCAATCGTTGTTTATGTAAAGTATCTTAATTTACTGGTGTTCTGACATGTCCACTAGTGGATACGCATCTTTATTATGTTTAGGGGAGACCGAGGTGAGTTGTAACAGAGGAGAGTTGTGACATTGTCGATTTTTTTGGAACAATTTTTTTTTATTAACTACTTACTAGCGAGCTCGTAACAGTACGCGTTTTTTAGTTCAAGTCTCGAGCTAACAAATACGCACTGTTGCTTGCTGATAGCTATTAATAAGTTGCCATAAATCTAATATGTTACAACTCTCTTCGATCTCCCCTACTCTACTCGTATGTATTTACAACTAGCTTTCTGCCCGCGGCTTCGCGCGCGTGGACTACATTATCTGCCTACATATTTTACGGAACCCTATTATTTTCCAAAATAAAATTTAGCCTATGTTACTCGTGGATAATGTAGCTTTCGAATGGTGAAAGAATTTTTAAAAACGGGCCAGTAGTTTTTGAGCCTATTCATTACAACCAATCAAACAAAGTTTTCCTCTTTACAATATTATTAGTGTAGATCAATATAAATCAAACTAACGATTTGTTTACAATTTGTTAAGCTGTAGATCGAAATTTCAAAATTGATTTAATTTAATATCGTCGCTGTATTAACACGTTAATTAACAAACGCCATGTTTACCAGAACGGTAATTATCACACATGTGACGAGTTTACCGGTAATTTAATAACTTCACATGCCAATCCTAATTACCAACATAACATTCAGGCAACTGGATGTCTTCATTACAAATAATTAATATAATTGCTTAAACTCGTACCTACATGTGTTACTGATGATGTCATGAGAATTATTATGTCAGATTAAATTAAGTCACTATCTACGTTAAGATTGTATTGACTAAAATACCTATCCGTCTAATATTATAAATGCGAAAGTTAGTGAGGAGGAGAAACTCTTTCACGCAAAAAATGTTTCTGTGGTTGACGTTTTCTCCAAAGTACGGAATAATACTTATTTTTGCGATAGTCAAGATGATCAACTTTGACTATCATGCTCAACTCTCTATATTTTGTGTTTATAGCATGAGTATTTAATAAATTTGTTAGTGGATATAACATTGGTTCGTTGATCTACACGATAGAAGAACAGCTACTTACATGGTTAAATGCCATATTTTTGGAACGATATAAACCTGTTTTCAAGTTGTAATTTATGACCCAAAATAGTAAAGATAATAAGTAATATTAATGACATAATAAAAGACAAAAATCAGAAATGCAATTGAACAAAATAATTAACTTACAATTCGATTAACGACATTGTTTACAAAACCAACGGAAAGGAATCGATCATTCTTAACATAGTAATAATAACAAAAGAAAACTAACCTTAAACCGATTGTTCCCGATCGGTGGCTCTGCATACGGTATCCCAAGAAAGGCGATATAGTCATTGTTCACAGTATGCCCCCTAACAGTCCCGTACCTTGTCTGCACATATTTGTACCTCTTATTATGGCAATCACTAATTTCCGTGGCGTAAAAACAATTGAGGATCGCGACAAATGTTATGACAAGCAACATGGCCGTCCCAGTCCTTTTCGATAGACATACTGATTTGAAATAATAGAACATCTAATTTAGAATGGATGTTTAATTTTGTTTTCGTAAACTGGATTTAACAATACCTATTATAATGCGATTTGGCTAGCGAAATTAGTTTCCGATAAACCATTCTCATAAAGGTTTGGTCGGTGATCGAATTTAACATGAATGGATTATTTTGGTTTGGGTGAATGAGTTTATTTAGATGTGTTGTGGAAAAAGTTATAAATGAAAACGTTTTTTTAGAGAAAGGGTTGGATTGTTACTTAATTTTGTGACTGATTGTGACACTAGAGTAAGAGTTTTATAATTATTTTGTCTTTAACATACTCTACCATTTCATTTACGTAATTAAAAATTCAAATTAGATTCGAGCGTTACTTTAAATAAATTATTGGCATCACTTAAGAACGTCAGATCTATTTAAAAAGGTCTGCTTAATTCAATTTATCTTCTCAAAAGCGCGTTTCACCTAAATATTATATTAAGTATCACATTCATGGAAATCCTTAATTTCCATTTCGTTTTTCTTTTATAATTTCCGTGTTTACTTGACACTACACAAAATGAAGTCACTAAACAAAAACATAAAGTCCATCTTTTAGTGTCACTTTAACCACCAATCACATTTACGTTTATCAAATAGCAAATAACTTTATACAACGTAAGCAAATGTTCTAATACAGCCGCAAGATTCAACTAACCAGACTGTATACGATAATGGCCGATAAAGTTGTTTTATCTCTTTTTTTATTACGTCTCTGATATTACGTTGTTATACCGGATTGAAATATTCTTAACCTTCGCAAAATGGTGATCATCATCATCATTTCAGCCATAGGACGTCGACTGCTGAACATAGGCCTCCCCCAATGCTTTCCATGTTGATCGATTGGTAGCGGCCTGCGTCCAGCACTTCCCTGCTACCTTTATGATGTCGTCGGTCCACCTTGTGGGTGAATTTAAATGGTGATAGTTAAAAAAAAAATGACCATCCATTAGTGTATCATCCCCACAACTTTGGCACGATCTTTACAGGACATCCTGTATATTGGGATAAATTATAATAGTAACGTAACGTCTAAAGCAAAAGTACTGTAAAAATAATGATACTTAAGTTTAATTTTGCTGCATAGTACTTAAATGTAAATAATCGTGTTAAATTAACTTGTGTGTGTATAGTAGCTAAATTAAAACGAATTCTATTAGCATAACATCAAATATTACAAGTAGGTAAATAGGTATAACAAGTATAGAGTCACAGAATAATAATAAGTGTAGAGTTACAAACACCTATTGACATTGGTGAATGCGTAGATTTATTTTATGTGCATTACATTTTATTTAATACATGGTTTACAGTTTATGCAATCGAAGTATTCGAATATTTGGCACAAGACTACGTTTTAGCTAAAAAAATAAATCCTTACAATACTTGAACAAGAAAATATTGTAGGATAAAAATATAGCAAAAAATGTTATAAATATTTTTCGAGTAACATCACACACGACTAAAGACATTTATAAGGTGGCTCAGTATCGCAAGTCAGTATCAAATCCCATACTTACCGATGCGGGTCACGCTTGCCCCGAAAATAAGCGATTCGACTCCCAGTAGGGCTATCATTATTCAATAAATAACTTTTGCTCGTGGCTTTACTTGCGCGAATTTCGGTTTTTCACAAAAAGTTTTCTTCCAAAAACCATGAAGCAAAAAAAAAAAAAGGATTTTCCCTGGGTTTCAAACTATATTCATAACAAATTTCGTCAAAATCGGTTTAGTCACTTTAGTGGTTTAGGCGTGAGAGTTAAAATAATATCCATTCATCCCTCCAGTTATCCTCAAAAACTCACATTTACAATATTAGTAGGATTTTCCTGCCATTTTGGTGCTTATTTCTATCTTTTAATAAAACTCGGGTCCTGAATTAAGTTTCTCAGCTTGAGCGTGCTCATCTTCAACTCACGGATAACTAGAATAAGAAAATTGAATAAGAAAAGTTTATTAGAAGATTAGCATGCTCAAATCATCAAGCCAAAAATCTCAATCTAGAAACTTAATGGCCTAAGGCGGAAAAAATGATCTGTTTTCCTTAATTTTCGCACTTGAAGTTTCCGGAGTAGTCATTTTATGGGTTTTCAAAAAAGTTGGTAACCCTACTCGCATGAACATGGCGTTACGTGTCACGTAGGGTGACCAAGCCTTTAATAAAGTAGGCTGTAAGCAAGATAAACGATTTGAGGCCTCAGATAAAATACTTTTTTTGATCAAATCGATGGATTTCAAATTCTATAGGCATGACGTAAGATTTTGTAATAAAATACAAAGCACGTCATAGTTATTAATTTTGTTAATAAGGTGTGAAGCGCGATATTTGTTGACACACAAAATGTCCAATTTAATATCGTTATTTATTGAGTTCTGTCCACATGGACACGATGTGAACACGGTGTGAATTTGAATTTTGAATTTGAATTTGTCCTTGCTATTTCAAAAGACAGGTTGTGCTGGACTGGCGTAATTCTATACGCCCGTATTCACAAACGATGCTTGCTTAAGGCCCGATTCGACCAAACTTTTATCCGAGAATAACACCTGGTATAACTAGCACATTGACAGTTTCAGTATGGGAAATATGTCAAAATGTCGAGTAACTAACATTTTATTCTGAGATTAATATTTACTCTTGTTTGGTCAAATCACGGCGAAGTCAGCGGTGAATAGAGCTCTGTGATTGGTTCGTGTGTGACCCTGTGCGTCCACACGCACCGTGAGACTTCATAGTAATGTTTGTGGATACGAGCATTAAACTAAGGTATTGTAATTAATTCTATAGATCGTGGGATTCGATATTACTAAGCAATCTGAGACCAATCAATCTCAAGATATAATTGATGAGCGAGTTTCAAGGCTGTTACATAATCTTGGTCTTTATTATTAAGACATTAAAGTTTTAATCTAGATATTGAAAATTTGATCCATCTCAGAATTCGATATGCTATTTTTTGGGCGTCGTTTTGTAATATTGCCCTTTAATTCATTGATCTTCTTCATATCGTGTCGACATCAAACCTACACAGCGTCAGCCCAAAACTCCACTACAAGAGTGGCGTTTCCAGCAGCATTCATTAAATCCTCCTGCGTGAGTTGCTTGGGCACTCAGGGCACGACATCATGTTAATATGTATTCTGTTACAGCTAATCTTATGTTTTTTAATCGAGGGCTAAATCTATCTGGTTTAAGGTACCTTCATCTCAAGCTATTCTATCTATACTCCTGTTTTAAACGTGTGGGTGCTAAATGTAGGCGGGTTTGAAGACCTCAATTTAACGCCATTTGAGTCTAAATTCTAGATCTAGACCATTGGTTCCCAAACTTATTTGAGACGCACTCCCTTTCGTCCATCCAAAAAATTCCGTGCCCCCCTCCTCCAGTCAAGATTATTTATTGATCATATCAGTCCGGAATGCATTCTCTTTGCGGTCGCAGGTTTTTTATACTTAAGTACACAGATGGCCCGCGCCCCCCTTTAAAGGTCTTTGTGCCTCTTGTGGGGGGCGCCCCCCCACTTGGGAAGCCAATGATCTAGACCGATACAGTCCCAATACAGGCTTTGCTAACTGCTCTGCGGCGGGACCGTACATCCATAATGAATGCCAACCAAAACTCCTAAGGGACCACTTAGATTTATTCGGCTGGAATAGTAAAATGTAGAGGCGTATTTTTCAAATAGTTTTTTTGGCTATTTTAAGGTAACTCATTTGGAAATGACATTTCCAAATGAGTTACCTTAAAATAGCACCACACATTGTGTGGTTGCATAGGAAAGTAAAGATGTATTCTTCCTTTTTATTTAACTAAAATCATTATTAATTGGAGACCTTTATGTGCAATATTCCCGATACTTAATATTATAAATGCGAAAATAACTCAGTCTGTCCATCACACTTTCACACCAAAACCACTGAATCGAGTTTTGATGATGTCCCGGGAAAGGACAGAATAGTTTTTATCTCGCGCGCTATGATTTATGCCGGTTTTTAAAACGCGCTGTAAAGTTTTCTGTGACACACAAATTTTCACCTCTCTCTCTCTGAGCAGAATTAGCGCAATTAAAAAAGACATCACTATTTTGTTGCAATTTCTTACAAAACTTGCGCGCAAAAAGCAAATCTTAGTATGTAAAACATCAAACTTCTAATGCTCGTAACTCAGTTCAGACTGAGTTTAGAGGTATACATGTCATAGTAAGTTTGGTTTATTACACTATTTTGTAATCAAAAAATAAGGATTGGATGGCCGCGCGAATAAAAAAAGACGCCACCTTCCATACAAAATCTGGCATTACCATTTTCCGATCAAGTAACTATCGTAAAAGTACACAAGCTAAAGTTTCCTTAAAACGTTCCACTTTAGACATGTTAAAATATTTCGCGTACAATACCTCGCTTGCTGCTATTTATCTAGCATTTGCACCATAAATATGTTCTACTCCGAACGCCTCATCGGGTTGTGCTAACATCCACCAGTTCAGAAAACCACGATAAAATAACACAAAACACTCAAAAGTGAATCTTAAGTTAGAAGTAGTAATACTCTATCGAGTGCAGTACGTAACATCAATTCGATAACAAGCTCTAAAGAGACAAGCAGGCAGCAAGTGCAACGCGGGAAATTCGGGAAAAGTGTTTGAAAAGTAAGTTATAGTAAAAAAAATAGAACTGCTATTTAACCTTAAGAAGATAATTTCGAAAAATCAGTCCTACCATTCTTTAGAGTAGCACCTTGACGCCATTTGTACGATTACAAACAAATGACAAGATGTTTGTGAAGATGCACAAATATTGAGTACTAACTTCCAAGAACATTTAATTTTGTCCAAAAATCTTGACGTTTCTGCATGAGACAAACAATAATAAAAGCGCTGGAGGAAACTCAGTCACTATTAGTTGCCATTTAAAATGTGAAAGAAAAATACGCTTTGCAAAAAAGTGCACACTAATTCTCTCTTTTTTGTCATAATTAATCTAAACTTTGAACTTTAAAATAAAAGTTTAGAAAATTGTAAGTTGGAGTTAAACGGCGACAATAGCCCAATGATGTCGGTGTCGGACTGTCTCGTTATTCGAAAAACTCTGGTATGCTGGACTATTGTGGTGAACCCATTCGAAAACAAGC